TTTTTTTTCTCCTCAATAAAAGAAGACTATTTTTTTGAATTTAAAACAGCTTGTATTTTGATCCTTTCCGGAATGCAATTTTTGACTTCAACAATGGAGTAATGGATGTGAAATCTCTAAAGGTAGACCATATTTCCTTATCAATGTAAATTTCATGTTATGATATTAGAAATTTATTGCCTTGTTATTTTGTGGTACAAACAGCTAAGGACAGTGATACCAGCTCAAACGTCGTTTCAGGAGGACCAAGGTTGTTATATTCACATGTTTGTGCAAAACTATACTATCTTTGATTCATTTATGCATCAGTGCTTTTCTTATTGAAAACTGTCAAATATCCAGCCAGGATTTTGCGTGGGTTGAGACTCGCAGCTCGTCTTAATTTATCTCTTTCAAAAGAGACTGAAGCAGCTATATGTAGTCTCTCTTCGTTGGTTGCTGACCTTTGCAAGGTAATTCTGTAATTTCTGAAACATCTATTCACCAGATGTTCCTGTGTTTCTTTGTGAGGAAAAAAATGGTTGGCATTGTTCCTTCCTGTCCAGATATTTTTTGGCATTATTCGCATTGCATAAGTAGTTTTACTTTTCTTGCACTTTCATAGATACTTCTCTCATCCACCTTATGTTAATGTTCTCTTTATGTATTGATTTATGATCAGCTTTTTGTTTATAAAAAGTGATAAATAACGAAAGTCTTCTTCAGTCTAGAATAAACTTGGAGATTAATTATATGCTATCATATGGAGCCGCGGAGCCCTCGCTTCTTTTGCTGAAGAGGTTCAAATTGCTCGAGATATTGCTACCATTTCAAGTAAGTTTGTTTTGTTGTTTTCAACGCTAATAGCCCTTAAGCTGAATGTGTCTGCTTATACTCCCAAGAAATTGTAGGCAGCATATCTTTCTGAGCAGGAACATAATGGGCTTGACCAGCGTTCTGTAATGCTAATGGTCAGTGTTCTTATCCTATTGCAGCATTTAATGACATGTATCAGGGAATGCATATATTCGTCTTTCTAGTTTTGAATTATTTATCCAACATGATACTTTTTTATTACCGATTTGATGTTTTTCCCTCGAAGTGTGACCATTGCTATTCTTTTTCTTTTCAGAAGTTATTTTTCAACTTGGATCTGTTGATCACTTGTGACCGGCCTTGTGATCAAAGTATGTGGTGAGTTTTTCTTTTCAGCATATCATTCCTTTATTTGCCTGGTATATGTTTGTTACGCGTGTGCCTGCTTGCCCAGGATATTTGTGGATGGTTGGCCTACAACATGGTGATGGTTGGTTCTCAAAGTGTACATTGTTCAACTTATAGTTGACATTTAACCTCACTTTTCAACTACTCCTCAAGTTAAATGTTCTTTAAACCCGACCTAAGTCAACCTTTGCCTTGGTTCAAACATGTTCTTAAGATGTGAACTAGATTATACACACTAAGAAACTAATTCTTCTGTGAATCTTTCTTTCCAAACATGTTTAGTGTGGTAGGTGTACTGGATAGTGAATCCTATTAAATGATCAGTCTCACTACAACAAATGCGATTTCAACTTAAAAACTGTCAAGTCACCCAGGATTATTTTTAATCATCTAGTTCACACATCCACCATGATTCTTCTTAGTAATTTAATTTAGTCAGTTCAAACACCCACCCTTCCTTTTTGTTAGAAGTTATGTTTGTCCCACATCGATTAGTTACCGGATTGTTATTGTGTATAAGTGTGGGTTCGGCATCCTCTCCCTTCACGCTAGCTTTGGGGACGAGTTCTACTCAAACCCATTTATCATGGTATCAGAGCCTCCAGGTTTTGTTTGTTGGCGATGTTGGTTTTTGACTCGACCCATTTGGTTTGGCACTCTGCGCGTGAGGGCCGGTGTTAGAAGTTATGTTTGTCCCAAACTGATTAGTTACCGGGTTGTTATTGTGTATAAGTGTGGGTTGGGCGCCCTCTCCCTTAGAGCTAGCTTTTGGGGATGAGTTCTACCTAGGGCTGTGCAAACGAGCCGAGCCGAATTGAGCATTTGCCTTATCGAGCAAGATTGATTTTTTTTTTTACCTCGAGTATGTTGCTCGAGATCGACTCGACAAAAGAAGGCAATTGCTCGAGCTTACTCGAGATCAATTGAAATCAAAATGCTCGAAAGATTGCTTGATCTCGACTCGAGTTCTCGGATTTCAAGTTGAGTACCGTTAAGTACACATATAAAATATTGTAATATTTATATATAAGGGGTAATTTAGTAATTCACTACTTATCTGAGCGGCTTGACCTTCAAAATCTATGCTCGAGCTCGACTCGAGTTCGGTCAAACTCGAGCTTGAGCCGAACTGAGCTTTGACTCGAGTGCTTGCGAGCCGCTCGGTTCGTTTGCAGCCCTACTTCTACGTAGACCCATTTATCACTCTTTTAACCATTTTGGGACTTTTGCTAGTAGCTTCCTTGACATATCAAAGGTTGCCACGGAAGAAGTTGGCAATCCTATATTCCTATGTGCTTTTCATGAATGGTGCATGACAGAGCTGATTAATGATCACATTGACTACATAAGTGTCAAGCTGCGTATGAGATAGATGGAGATGCCCAACCAACCTCGGACATCTCCATATATCTTATCTACAAGAACCTCTCCTTTCTTTAGCATGTCGTTGTCACTTTTCATCAAATACATTTGCTGGTTTACACCACAGAAATACTCTAACCCTTTCAACAAAACTTTCAGACTCCATAATTAAGGCGTGCTTGTTTAATAATTAATCCGCCCAAAATGAGTTTTTTTTCGATTAACCAGCGTTAATTTTGAAAAAGTTGGATGGTTAGTTGTTATTGGGATTTTGATTTTATATTATAATAATATCTAAAATAAAATAATTAATGGTGATTTGATAGAAAAGTAGGAGAGAAATGATGTGAAGTGATAATTAGTTAAAATTATGTGAGTTGATGAATAGTAAATTAAAGTTGATGTGATGTGTAAGAATGATTGGTTTGCATTATTTAATTTTATTGATAGTATGGAGGATAATTGGGTTTGGTTAAAGTTGAGTTAGATTTTGAGTAGGAATTGAATGTGAATGAATTATTTAGTAATCAAACATGCTCTTAGTGACTCACGTCCTAATAAATTATTGAGATTCAGAAGTAGTTAGGTATGTCTAATCTATGCATGTTGTTTGAGCATCTGCTTGTTAGTATTCCTTCTCTTATGATATTCTCCGGAACAGGGTCGCAATCATGGCATTTCACATGGCACTATTTAGTAATCCTCAGCATATTGTCGTGGTGCTAACCTTTGCCTCACTTCTTTATCATCAAACATGGACCGAAAGTATCGAGTTTGCTAGAAAAAATGCTAAGGCTACCCAGATTTATGTGCCTGAAGTTTTAGATGCTTCTCACGACTTATCTGATGATGAAATAGCTGAAAGAGTAACTCGTTTTGCTGGACAAGTAGCAAAATCTGTCGATATTCTCACCAGAATCGACTGTCTTATTGAAGCAATGACCAGGTTTCGAGAAATCCAACCCTCCAATCTGGTAAGTAAAGCTTTAACTCTGCTTAATTGTGGTTACACTCCGAATTCATGGTACGGAAAGAATAACATACTACTGCCCCATCCCATTGTTAGTTTACAGTGTGTTTAGCTCTTTTTTCTTTGTTATCCTTATTTGATGAGACAATTTTACTCTTTCTAAAGTAGTAGGTCAACGTTAAAATCAATGTAAATAATTGTATATAGGAGAATCGAGAATATACTGCTACCTACAATGTAAAATACTACATTTTTTGACCCAAAACAAGTTGGCGCCACTGAAACCACCATGTACTTTCGCTATTCTTTTCTGTATGAAAACAATCCCAATCCCAAAAAAAAAGGTTGTTTGTTGCAGTGTTGTTAATATCCGTTCCGCTCTAATTTTCATATGACTGAGGATCAAAATCTTTTTGGACCCAATTTTGATGGTAAAATAGTAGAAATAATTAGGATCAAAAGGTGTTGATGGCTTTCGTTTTTCTTTTTTTTTTTTTTT